CTGAGTGTGTGTTGTACCTAAATGTGTAAAAGTGTATTTGTATGAAATAATGTACAAATGCACACATACATGTATGTACATGCCCTCCTCACACATGAAAGACTTAATAGACTCACCAGCTATTTACAAACACTGGACTTATTCCCAGCAACATCCACCTGAATTAGGTCTATTAACCCACATCACCATCAGAAATAAGGAAACAGAGGATTCTAGTTCATGGCATTTTTAACAATTATGTAACAATATTTTAAAACTTTGTGCACTTTCTTGACCTATATATAAGTGGACTGAAGGAGTATCCACTCTTAATTTTTGTACAATTCCTTGAATCCAGAAAATTTTGCATTTTAAATCTGTTTTGTTTACTTTGTGTCATGGTATTTCAAGAAATTGTTTGAAATAAAAAAAAACTGTTATAACTAATCAATGAATGCTTCAGTTCATAAAGTCAATATATAAAAATTGATTGTATCTCTATACACTAATAACAAATAATCAGAAAGAAAAATCAAGAAAACGATCCCATTTACCACTGCAACAACTAGCATAAAATACCTAAAAATAAATTTAAGAACACAAAAGGACACAAAAATTGTACACTGAAAACTCTTAGATATTGATGGAAAAAACTGAAGCTGACACAAATAAATAGAAAGATATGACATGCTCATTGATTGGAAGAATTAATATATTAAAATGTCCATACTACCTAAAGCAATCTGTGGATTCAGTGCAATCCTTATCAAAATTTCAATGACATTTTTTACATAAATAGAACAAAAACTCCCACAATATTTATGGAATCCCAAAGACACTGAAGAGCCAAAAGCAATCATAGAAAGAAGAGAAAAGCTAGAGGCACCATACCCCTTGATTTTGCAGTATATTATAAAACTATGGTAATCAAAAGAGTATGGTAATGGCATAAAAAGACATAAATCAAGGGAACAATAGAAAACCCAGAAATAAACCCACAGATATGTGGCTATTTAGTTTACAACAAAAGAGACAAGAATATACAACAAGGAAAGAATAGTCTCTTCAATAAATGGTACTGAGTAAACTGGACAGCCATATGCAAAAGAATGAAACAGGACCACTATCTTATACCAGAGGCAAATTTAACTCAAAATGGATTAAAGACTTGAATGTAGGACCTGAAGCCATAAAAGGCTGGAAGAATGATATTGGTCTTGGCAATGAGTTTTAGAATATCCCACCAAAAGCAAGGGAACAAAAGCAAAAATAAACAGGTCTACTTCAAACTAAAGACTTCCACACACCAAAGGAAACCATCAACAAAATGAAAAGTCAACTTCCTAAATGGCAGAGAATATTTACAAATCACATATCTGATAAGTGGTAAATATTCCAAAAAACTTATATAAAGAACTCATACAACTCAATAGCAACAAAACAAACAAACAAACAATCTGACTAAACAATGGGCAGAGGATCTGAATAGAAATTTTGCCAAAGAAGACATACAGATGGCCAACAGGTACATGAAAAGATTCCCAACATCACTACTAATCAGGGAAATGCAAATTAGAACCACAATTAGATATCACCTTGCTCCTCTTGAAATGGTCAGTATCAAAAAGAAAAGAAACAGCAAGTGCTGGTGGGATGTGGAGGAAACTGAATCCTGTGCTTTGTTGGTGAAAATGGAGATTGCAGCCACTGTGGAAACAGTGTAGAAGTTTCTTGAAACGTTAAAAATAGAACTACAATATGATGCATCAACTCCACTTGTGAGCATTTATCTGAAGAAAACAATAACCCACGTTCAAAAAGATATACGCACACTGGTAGGGTCCGTAATCAAAGGACCAAGACTGATACAAAGCAAAGGTCAAGCAAAGCTTTATTTCGTGCCAAGCATTGAGAATCAAACTGGTCAGGGCTGTCTCTTGCAAAGAGGTGACCCCTCCTAGCTTCACAGAATAAGTTTTATAGAGGTAGTTTAGCCGGGCTATACACAGGTGGCCAATGAGATTGCAATACACAGAGAAAACTGCACAGTCATGCTAGGTCTGCCACACACAGAAAAACAAACAAACAAACAAAAAAAACCCAAAAACTGCTCGGTAACACATGGGTGGCCAATTGAATTTCAATTTACCCTAGTAGATATATGTGCGCCCCACTGATTGGATGTCTTCACCTGGCCTGACCCGCCCTTGTATCTAGGCTTTGCAAGTAAGTTCTTCTGGGAGGGGCGGGGTCAATCTAAGTTAACTGTATAAACACAAAACGACTCCCTCTGACTAAACAGGCCCTTACACACACCTCCATATCATGGCAGCATAATTATAATAGCCCAAACATGGGAATGACCTAGATGTTCATCAGTGGATGAATGGATAAAGTAAGTGTGCTGTACTAGGTGATGTATGGAAGTATTGAATCACTATATTGTACACCTGAAAGTAATGTAACACTGTATTTTAATTATACTGGAATTAAAATAGAACATAAAAGAAATTGTACTCTCTCTCTCTCTGTATATATCTATACATATATAGATAAATAGATAGATAGATAGATAGATAGATAGATACAGATAGATAGATAGATAGATATACATAATTTATAAAATATATGTAATGGTATATAATTTACCCATTCAAATGAATGAAATCTTGGCATTTGTGACAGCATGGATGAACCCTGAGATCATAATGCTCTATGAAATAAGTCAGACAGAAGAAGATAAGTACTATGATTTCACTTACATTTGGAATCTTAAAAACAAGACAAAACCAAACCAAGCTTGTGAGTATGTATAGCAGATTGGCACTAGACAGAGCTAGGGTGGGGAGTGGGTGAAATGGGCAAAAGGGTCAAAAGCTTCAAATTTCCAGTTCGAAAATGAGTAAGTCATAGGGATGTCAGGTCCAGCACGGTGACTGTAGCCAACAAAACAGTATTGTAGATTTGAAAGTAGCTAGGAGAGGGAATCCTGACCATTGTCATCAGGAAAAAAGTTCATAACTGTATATTGTGATGGAACTTACTCTGATCACTTCACAATATATACAAATATTGAAACATTCCTTTGTATACCTGAAATTAATGAAATGTGATGTCAGTTATATGTTAACAACATCAATAACAATAATAATAGTGACAAAGGACAGTTTATTCATAATATCAGCTCAGGGCTAAGTCACAAGTACTGTAGGCCCAGGTGAGTGTCACAGGCATTCTTAGCCAATACCATCACTATCTACAGGCTGAAGCTTAAAGGGGATGAAGATATAGTCTATGTGATCAGAAGAGCAGTTAAGGAATAAAATAGAATGACAAAAGACTCAAGATGAAAACTGTGAGTTTGTGTTTTCCTCTATGATGAAATTATGTAAATGTCTTTAGATGCCAAGTATAGTTTTATCTATATGAATAAGAGAATTCATGATTATTTCTTTGGGAAGACATAGGGAAATTTTACTTGGCATGATATATGTCATTTGAAAAGAAATCATTTTTGAGGTATCAAAGTGGTCCTGTAAATGATACAAAAGTTTTTAAATATTTCTGAATCAGGGTTGGGAAGAACTGTGGGAATGTGAAAATGGACAAAGGGAAAAACTGTATGTATATTGTACAATGCAGAAATATTAGTAAACAGAGTTTTCTGAAATTGTATAGAGAAACTGATTTTTTTAATTTAATTTTATTTAAATTCAACTTAGTTAACATATAATGTATTATTGGTTTCAGAGGTAGAGGTCATAGATTCATCAGTTGCATATAACACCCAGTGCTCATTATATCACATACCTTCCTTAATGCCCATCACCCTGTTACCCCATCTCCCCACCCACCTCTGGTCCAGCAACTGTCAGTGTTTCCTATAGTTAAGAGTCTCTCATGTATTGTCTCCCTCTCTGATTTCATCTTATTTTATTTTCTCTCCCTTCCTCTATGATCCTCTGTTTTGTTTCTTAAATTCTACACATGAGTAAAATCATATGATAATGGTCTTTAGTGAAGTTGAATTGCAAGAAATGGAAATTTCTGGAAATACATAGGAATTGATTATATTTCATAGTGATCAAAAAATCATGTTTTACATGAAAGATTTATAGCAACCGTGTTTTGGTTTTGAACAGGAAAGGAGGGCACCTGGGTAGCTCAGTTAGTTAAGCACTGGTCTTTGGCTCAGGTCATGCTCCTAGGGTCCTGGGGTTGAGCTTGCATCAGGGTCTTTGCTCAGCAGGGAGTCTGTTTCTCCCTCTCCCTCTGCCCCTGTCCCCCTACTCTTGTGCTCTCTCTCTCAAATAAATGAATAAATTCTTTAAAAAAAGAAAAGGGAAGAAGACTTTATTATTATTATTATGAAAACCTAACAGAGACAGGAGAGGAAAGGAATCTACACCTAGATGAAGGTAATAGTAGGCAATAAATGAGAATAAGGCAAAGTTACATTAAACGCATTATTTATAAATACAACTTCATCAGCTGGGCAAGGCCCTGGAAATAGCCAAGTTGGAGTCCTGACAGAGGCTTGGACAGAGCCCAGGTGAGACTTTCAACTGACCATCCTCATAAAGGCCACATTCATAGGACAAATAATAGGGTTTGAAATTAAACATCTGCATTGTCCACATGCTGTTTGGAACAAGCTGCATTTCCATATTACCATGTTTCCATACTTTCAAAGAGCCTGGGCTATGTATGTCTGCCTTACACCTTGGATTGCATTTTTGGGGGTCAGCCCAGTCTGGAGGAGGAGGGGGCAAGAGACAAGGTTTGTAGCTCTTGGTGTCCAAACTGGAAGGTTCAGTTCTGACCTGGAAGCCAGATAGTATACTTTAAACAACTGGGCTCCCAAGGTTATTCCCACAGCAGAAATCTCACAAACAACATTCCTTAGCCTGCTTGTGTACATGCAGATCCAGGTGGTCTGTTATGTGGGACAAGACACAAACACATTTATTCATACAGAACACATAGCTTTGAGCCCTGCAATCAAGAGCACTTCTTCACCACTAGGACAATTGTGCCTTTATAGTTGCTCGCTTAAAGAATCTTATCAGAGCCCCTTTTATGTCCTTGTTCCTTAGGCTGTAGATGAAGGGGTTCAGCATGGGTGTGACCACGGTGTACATTACCGAGGCTACTGCACTTGAGTGGGAGCTCTGGGTAGCTGCAGAGCTAAGGTACACTCCCAGGACTGTGCAATAAAATAAGGAGACAACTGAGAGGTGAGATGCACAGGTAGAAAATACTTTATATTTTCCCTGAGCTGATGAGATTCTATATATGGAGGAAATAATCTTAGAGTAGGAGTAAAGGATCCCAGCAAGGGGACCACCAGCCAGCAGCACAGTTGAAACATATAGCACTGTGTCATTGATAAAGGTATCAGAACAGGCAAATTGGATCATCTGATGGAGTTCACAAAAAAAGTGGGGGATTTCCACTTCTGAACAGAAGGACAGCCACAACACCATTAAGCTTTGTAACAAGGAATTCAGGACACTCATGATCCAGGACATAAGAACCAGCAGTCCACAGAGGTGGGGGTTCATGATGACTGTGTAGTGCAGGGGGTGACAGATGGCCACGAACCTGTCATAGGCCATCACAGCCAGGAGAAAGTCATCACAACCTGCAAAGAGTGTGGAAAAACAGATCTGGCTGATGCATTCTGTATAGGTTATAACTTTGCTCTGTATCTGTATATTCACCAGCATCTTTGGGATGATGGTAGAAATGACACAGATGTCTAGAAAGGACAGGTTGACCAGGAAGAAGTACATGGGGGTGTGAAGGTGGGAGTCAGAGCTGACAGCAAGTATGATGAGCAGGTTTCCAAATACAGTGATCAGGTACATGGAGAGGAAAAGCCCAAATATTAGGGGCTGCAGTTCTGGATCATTTGATAATCCCAGAAGAAGAAATCCTGAAATTTGGGTATCATTGCCTGGTTCCATGTGGTTGTTGTGATGATTAGAAATTAGGAAAAAATGATTAATTTTAATACAAGTGGGTATTCATAACATGGCAGAAATGCTATAATTACAATGACTTGTGGGGGAGAAAAGCAGACATAAAAGAAAGTGTTATCTTTCCTAGGAGCTCCGAAAGACCTAAAAGAAGGTGCACTTTGAAGAGGGACTTCAGGCAAGACGGCACAGGAGACATGAGGTTATCTGGCAACATGTGTGTCCTGCAGGAGAAAGAGACAGTGCAAAGGCCCTGAGGAAGGCACCAGATATCCAGGTCTTACAATGGAACCAGTGTGGTCATGAGAACAGCAAGAAGGAGTGTGATGAGAGGTGGTTTCAGGGAAGGTTGAGGAATGACATAGCCTCTCCGGTGCAGGTGAGACTTCAAGACACAGGGAGTTCTTCATCCATATGGTTGTTCCTTGCATTTCATTAATTTGTTTCCAAGGAATCCTGTCAACAGAAATTTCCTTATTTCCAAGTATTTGTTAACATCCTGGAGTCTGTATTTTAAGGGTCCCATATTGGCACACAACACACTCCTGGGCCAGGTGATTACCAGGTTCTTCTCACCCTCGAGCTGCAATATTTAGAAAAGAAACAATACTAGTTAAGCTCTCAACATAATTTCCCTAACAAATATAGAAAAGTACACAAATCCCCATTGATAAGACTTCCATGAACATATAACTCCGTGCTCTATTTTAATATGGCCATTTTGTCTTATATTTATAGATGTATAAAAAACTCAAAAGGAAGAGAAAAGGAAGAGGGGGGAGAAAGTTCTTTTAAGTCCATTGGTCCCTGAGAGTTTGTGATGACAAGAAAGCTTCCGTGGTTCTGGCTGCAGTCCAACCCTAAATATATCCGTTCAACACCCAGAAGACCTAATACAGCAGCAAAAACCAATTTCTCCAAAAGAAAAAAAAGAGTGATATATTTATGATATCAAGACACCTTAATGTATGAACATCTGCTAGAAATATGAGTGAAAGGACTATATCCACAATTGGTGAAAGGAAATACATGATTTATAAAAATAGCAAGGGTTTATAAAGATGAAATGGTAAAAGACTTCTTTATATGATATTAAGTGTAAAATTTTGGAATCAGTGGTTGAGTTTTGAACCTCGGATCTACCACACATGAGCTGTCTGAATTTGAGAAGACAATCAATTCATTTTAAAATGTTAATTTTCTCACTGGAATGGTGGGGGTAGTGGTATCCGTCCTCCTAAGGTGGTTGACAGATTGAGTCCATATATGTAAAAATTTGAAGATAGTTCCTTCCTGTTCGTATACAAATGGCTATTCTCTTTGTTCAGCCATGTTTGTATGTGTGTGTACATGCATGTGTATTTGTGTGTTTGCATGTGCACATATGTTTGATCATAATGTAAAAGGCATGTTTATTGTGGACAGAAAAAAAAATGGAATCCACAGCAGTAAAGGAAGGAAGAAAATGGGTTAATATAAGGCCAGTGGCTGCTAATGTGGGAAAAACAGTATGAATGAGGAGTTTATCAAAACATCAGATTGAAGAGGTAAAAGCAGCCCATGTGGGTGCTGATGTGATAGCAGACTTCAGGGAGACCCTGCTTACTGATCCACTGGCTTCATCATTGTGTCCACCTCAGGCCCTTGATCTAGTTGCATTCCTGTCACCATGCCCACTATGCCATATTTGTCTGACCACACTTATTTTTATGTGGCTCGAGAGTGGATGAAGCTGGCTCTTCCCTTTCCTTTCCTTGGTGGTATTCACTCTTTTGTTTGACACAAAGAGTGTCAAACAAAATCTCTGTTTGATCTCTGTTTGACACAAAATCCAATGGGGACATGCCTGTCCTTGTTCTGTGTTCCTTGTCTGCCATGTGGAAAACTTCCCAGACCATACTCAGTAAAATTTTGCATGTTCCATGACAAACTATCCCTTTTCTGTATATTATTTATTCTTGAAAACCCTATGTCATATGAGCTTTTAGTTCCCTGTTCTCTATTATTATATTATAATACATATATAATATATTATATATTATATAATAAGGAGCAAGGGCTTACCCTGCTTTGTTTGACTCTTTGTGTTCACAAAGGTGCACATTTGTATAGAAACAAATTTTTAAGAAAATGAAAATTCATTAAATAGAAGGAATGGTAGGGAAAATAAATTAATGTTAGATATGGTGGATTCAAATGACTGTCTTCAACAAAATTGAACAATAATCTAATACTAACGTCAAAGAGAAAGGATATATAATAGCAAAAATCACATCAACATAGGTCTCTAATTCAAGATGAAATGGCTAAAAGTGTGGAAATAAAAGAATAGGAAAATATATTTTTAATACACAGTGCTAGAAGTAATAGCTCAAGTTATAATTTGATCATTCATGACCATATTGGACTTGATAATGCTTATGAAAAAGATGCAGGTTTTGGAGGAGAGGGAAGTGAAGGGTTGGGTGAACCTGGTGGTGGATATTATGGAGGGCACATATTGCATGGAACACTGGGTGTGGTGCATAAACAATGAATTCTAGAACATTGAAAAGAAATAAAATAAAATGAAAAAAATACAAAATGCATAAAAATTTAAAAAAGAAAGAAAAAGATGCAGGGATCTTTCATTGAGTAAAAAAAAATATGTTTCACATCATGACAGGAGGTGATTGCTATTTAAAAAAAAATAAATCTGCCAAAATAAAAAAATTTAGGAAATAAGGAAAATTAAATTGAAATAAGATGACAATATGTATGAAGCAATTCTTACTACTAAGGATGCAGAAGAATTTCAATATTTAAAAAGCAATGAGGGGAACAGGATATGACCAAATAATAGATGGGAACTCACAAAATATGTAAGCTCTCACTTGATCCCATAAATACATCTATACACAATACAAAGATTAAGTGGCAAACAGCAAAGTTGGTGAAAAAAATGTTATTCTTTTTTGAAATAATGGGATCAAAAGACAATAAGAACACGCAAATCCGAGTACATAAAAGAAATGTACTTGCAAAAACAATTTTCATATAGGACATAAATGACCAACAAAGTTCAAAATATATTCAGCCTCCTTGGTAATACAATCGTTGCAAAGTAATGTTCCTTGGTATTTCCCTTCATGCATATTAGATAAACTTATTCCAGTGATTATCAATGAAAGAGACAAAACTGTGAGGTGTATGTTTTAAAAATTGTCATCACAAGGTGTTATTTACCTCCATGATCCCGGATCCTTCTAATGAATACAGGACAAGCTAAATGTACCCCATCTGAAAATTTTAAAAACTACTTACACCGGGGTGCCTGGGTGGCTCAGTTTGTTGAGCAGCTGCCTTTGGCTCAGGTCATGATCTCTGGGTCTTGAGGGTCCTAGAATCAAGCCCCACATTGAGCTTTCTGTTCACCGGGGAGTCTACCTCTCTCTCTCTCTCTCTCTGCCTCTCCCTACTGCTCGTTCTCTCCCTCTCAAATAAATAAATCTTTTTTTTAAATGCTAACACCTCCAAGTCTAATACTGTTTTCCTACTCTCCTTAGCTGCAAAACTCCATGAACATGTTCTAATTTCACTGGAACCATTTATGGCCCCCGTCCTTCCTTAGTCTCATCCAGCTGGACTTCCATTCCCACCATGTATTGTCAGCAATGATCCCTATAATGCTGAGTCCAGTGAAAACTGCTATTTAAAATATATTAAGAAAATTTTTAAACTGAGTAGTCAACTCAGCAAACAAACATGCAAACTCTTGGCTCTAGATAGGCTGGTTGGGCTCTCAGATCACCTCCGGTGAATATTCTCAGGTTCCATTCTCTCTGATCCTTTCCTGAAATACCTGCTGAGCTCTCAGACTCTCCCAAGTGGGGCTTATAAGATGAAAGTCTCCCTGTGTAGATCTGAATTCATCTCTGGATGGTTGATGGTGGGGACTGAAGCCCTGTTCCCGGACAGGACAGCAGGAAGGAAGGAAGCATGGGTCCCCCACCTAGGCTTAGGAACCCAAAGGCAACAAATATGTCCTTTCCCTCACAAGTATGCAACATGGTAAGGGACTACAGCAACAGAGATATTTATAGCTCCCTGTTTCTGCTCATTAGGCACTGCTTCCATTGTTACTCCCACCTCTGAGTGTATTATTTCCCTGTGGACCACATGTCTGGACAGAAAAGATAATTTTTTTTTCCTACTGATGTGCTTCGAGGAGACCAGATTAGAAGTTAGGTGAATCTAATTTTTCTTACTTCTTCTCCATGATCTTGCCTGCCTTCCAAAGTTCTAACATCCTTGTATCTTATCCCAATTTTGAGTTAATGTTTTCTCCAAATCGAAGACTGAGGAACCTGCTTAACCATGTCTCATGGACCACCAAAGTACTATTTTATGGCAGAAAAGATCTGATATATCTAGAAAATTGTTATTCCCTATATCAATAAGAGAGAGAGGTAACTTGTTATAAGTATATATGTACTATGCTCTCGTCTTGATGCTTTTGGCTAACCAATTAGGTGATTCATGGCAAATTCAGAGCAGTCATTTATTGCTTCATTTTGAAAAGTTCATTAATTATGAGATATTTAGATCATTTTATGCACATGCAGAGTGAGAATCCAATGTGGATTTTTTTATTTCGTTTTTACAAAATTCCACTCTGTAAGGTTTGTACTATAATGAACCTTAATCTACAATTGTAAAAGTGGGGCTCAGAAGTATGAAACGAGGTATCCTGAGTTAATTGCTGAGGAAGGGATGAGCTTTACCTGGAACTCCACCAGATATTTCTATTTCTTATGATCTAGGTCAGTGGTTCTCAATCAGGGGCCATTTTGCCTCCAGAAAAAACTTGACAATTATGAAGGAATCCCTAATTGTCATAAATAGGGAGGAGCTACTGGCACCTAGTGGGTTGAGGCCAGGGATATTACCCCATATCCTACAATGC